TGTTAAGCATCTCTATTTCTATCATTGCCCGTGTGTCCCTGGTCCAGTTGTTCACTCTAGGATACAGAGAATCAGGAACTCTCAGCAGGTGTCCTCTGTACTCCACACCTATAACAAGCTGAAGTTGTACCTGGAAGGGCCATATCTCCAAAGGATCCCTCAAACACTAACAGTGGATGGGTGGGTGGGGAGTGGGGGTGGGGAGCGGTAGAATTTGGAGCTAGCAGTTGGGGCTGCTGTGCTGATCCTGGATTCCAGGAGTGCTGTCCATTAGGAGGACTCGGAGCTGGGCAGGGGAGATGGAAGAGGAGTGCAGGTCAGCACAGAGACATCTGAGGACTCATGATGAGGTGGAGATCTTCCCCTAAAGCTCAGAGCACTGTGCTTTCGGAGAACAAAGCCCCTGGTTTATGCTAAGACAGGTGGCTTGAAACCGTGAATTTGGCTCAGCTAATGACTGGATCTTTGTTTGGTACAGTGAAGGATGTCTCACACTGGACTCAGGTGTCTTGTTTGATAGTTTAGGCCTGACTCACCAGCTAGAGTGACAGCAATCTGGGGTCAAGGATGGGGACAGATAAGTCATCCTGGCACCTCTGCCCAGCAGGGTGTCCCCGAAACACTGGGCGTCACAGTGTTTTCGAACCTTATTTTTAGCAGCATTTTTAAAAATGTAATGGATGTATCATCCCAGCACAGTTCAAATGACACAGCGAAGCAAACTGTCATTTCTTTAACAATGGATGCAAACCTGTATTTATGAAAGAGGCTGTTAGAACCATCATGACCATGTTGACTTCTAAATTATACATGGAAATGGTTTGAGTTTGCATGAGACGCGGGCGGTTGAAATTAATTGCATATGAAGTTAGCATTTAAGGCAATAAGAATAGCCCTGAGGAGCCATAGAAAGAATGGAGATTATACAAATGACAGACATTGAGAGGCTCACTTCCCAATAGTCTCCCCACGGACACTCTAGCTATAGGATGGGTCCCAGAGACTCACAAGGAGAGATGTTCCTTGTGGCTAGTCTCCTGCCTCATCCTTTCACTGAGTCACCAGTTTTCCTTCTTTTTTTAAGATTTATTTTTACTTTTAAACTTTGTATGTATGTGTGACATGTGTGTGCATGCCTAACAGAACTAGAAGAGGGTACTGGATCTCCCCGAGTTGGAACTACAGGTTGTTAGCTGCCTGGCGTTGGGTGTTGAGAGGTGAACTTGGGTCCTTTGCAAGAGCACAGAGTGCTCTCATTCACGGAGCTGTCGCCCTGACCTTCGCGTGTCAATTTTCTGATCAGTGAACGTGAGACAAAACATTGAGGCTATCGTGAGAAAGAGGAGATTCTGCAGGGGAGGGTCAGGACAGGGGAATTAGGAGAGCTATGCGTGTCCCACACCTGCACTTGCCTCATGGAAGGAAAACAAGGCTGTAGCACTCACCCACTATTTCAGTAGATAATTAAAACAATACCTGGGCTGATCAGAAAGGGATCAGAAGTTCTGAGGCGGTCATCACACATCCCTAATGGGCTAAATGTGTTCTTCCTGGTCCTTGGGTATCACCATCCTTTTATCCCTGCTTCTCCTTGGGAACCTCAGCTTTCTTGTTGTACTGCAGACCCTTCCTGGTGTAAGAGTAGCAGGTGGGTAGAACCTGGGAGGCTGCTGAGCAGAAGGGATTAAGAGTTTGAGCTGGGCCCACCCTTCCTAGAGACTGATCTCAAAGCATACAGCCCAAACTTCGTCTTTCAGTTTCTCAACCTGTAGGAGCTAGGCTCCCATGACACCCAGCTAGCACAGGCAACATTCCATCAGGGTAACAACGACCATCCTGTTGTTCAGACAAACCACACTATGCTGAAGGCTGCCATGATGGCCTTAACTCTAATAGACAAATGCCTTCCCCAGATCTACCTTGTGTTATAACCCAACTGGAAGACTCCCTTGCTTCAGTTCTTTCTTTGGTACCGTAATCTCATGGGGTACAGGTTTTGTCCAGAACCATCAGAAGGAAGCTGTGACGAACACACAGCCCGTTCATTCTTGCTTCTAAACCTGGAGGAACAGCTTGTGGTTTCCTCTAAAACCTCCAGCTTACAAGGTCCTCTTAGACACTGAGAAGGCCTCGCTCTCCAGTTCAGAGCTGGAAAGAAGCAAATGCATGAAGAACTCCACCAATCTGTGACCATTGGAAACTGAGAGAGAAGTGGACACACAGGAACCAGGCAAAGAAGGCAAGAAATCCCCCCGTGGGCACAGATTCATGGCCTGCTCTCTCGCTGGCAGGTGGGAGCTGAGTCATGAGCATGAGTAGTGCCAGGTGGATAAAAGGACACACAGGTTGCTCTACAGGCTGCAGGGACACCGTGAGATCCAAGGATATGGTGCTCTGGGTTTGCTCTCTTCTTACCCGGTCACATCCAAAGCCTGTATCTTCTGCTCTCGGACAATATATTGACCTTCTCTGTTACCAGATGGTGACACAAAGGCACTCTGTACTGTTGCTAACGAAATTGTTCAAAATCTCAAGCCCATGGCTGGGTGTGGTGGTGCATACCTTTATTAGCATAACATTTAGCAGGCAGAGGCAGGTGAATCCTATAATGTGAGTTCAAAGCCAGCCTGGGCTACATAGAGAGGTGCAAAAAAAAAAAAAAAAGAAAGAAAGAAAAAAGAAAAAAAGAAAAAAAGAAAAAATTTCAGCCCTGGAGCACAAAGGCCAGATGTCCATGGTCTGGCAAACAACAGGCCCTGCTTAGAAGCAAGGGCTATAGCATTCACAGAAACACTCAGGTGGGGAGACTCAGCTGTCTGGGGTCAGGGACAGAACATCTGTGCTTTCCTTTCTGGAAAACACAGGGTGGACAATTGTCTGCTAAACGTCAGAGGTGAAGGGACTCCACAAGAATCCATCCCCGCACGGTTAAGGTTGCAGTAATGTAAATGAAGGGTTTCATTTTTTTGCTTATTTTGGCTTCCTTATTTTTATTTTTCCAGGGACAAATAGCCCCTAAGTCGGTTTTCAACGACTTTGTAGGTCCTGTCGTTTAAAGCATTTTCGGGTTTCTGGTGGAAGCTAGCTTTGAATAATTTGCTTCTGAAATGATACGGTTGATAAAACCATATCCTAACTATTTTTTAAAATAAGAGACAAAACCATATTCATCATTGTGTCCATTTCACATACTACAACCCTAACCATCTCTGTAAGGTTTTCTCAAGACAGTAACTTGGAAGGATGATATTGATATTTTATCTGCTTTCATTTTAACTTACCTATTTAATGGAAACAAAGGCTTCATGAGATGCCCATTTTAACATTTGTAACTAAAATTAATCAACGTGAGTGAAGTCATCTGACTAACATCTAGGGAATACTTACTATGTGCTCAACCTCAGGCTAAACATTGGCAATCAGTAAATCTACCCATTGCCAGAAGGGACTGACAGCCCAGCAGTATGGGGTATGCTCAAAGTAAGGAACTAGAGAGCCAGAAGACCACCAGCTTGCATCCACTGCAGCCATTCCCAGCTTTGAGTGACAAAGCCCTGGGACGGCTGGAGATGCTCAGCTGCTTGACATCATTCCATGCTATGTTGGGGCCAGCAGCCTGCCATAGGCTGGTTAAGGATATCCAAGAGAGATGGAGAAGACAGACAGGAACAGGCTGATGGAAGGGCCAGCAATCTGATGAGTTAATTACACTCTACACATTGCAGGCAACAGGATTAGTAACTAAAAGCCCAGGGGCCGGCAAGAGGGCTCAGTGGGTATGAGTGCTTAGTGTCCAAGCATGAACACCTGAGTTCAAATCCCCACAATTCATGCAAGAAGCCAAGGATGGCTGAATGTGCCTGACCTGACATCTTCTTCTGGGCACACGTTTGTACCTACCCATGCACAGGTGTGCACACACGTACACACACTCCAAAACCAAACAACTCCCCAAAACAAAAAGAGAACCCCAAAGCTACTGGGCACTTGCTCAGGACAAGTAGGCTAAGCACTTTAGCTGTATTTACTGTTCATCTTCCCAACAACTCTTCAACCTTTCATTATCTCGTTTTACATACACAGAAACTGAGGCTTAGGGGTCCGTGAGAGTAAAGAAAGTCTTGGAGTCCTCAGGAAACTTTTTAGTATCACAGCTCAAGCTGGTGTTGAACCTGACCTGCAGCAGATGGCTTTGAACTCTCGATCCTCCTGCCTGAATATTTCAAGTTTGATTACAAGTATGTACCACACCTGAGCTACATGGTGCTGGGAATCAAACCCAGGACTTCATGGATGCTATCCAAGAACCCAACTGAGCTACATCCCCAACCTTAGGGCCAGACCTGTTCTCATTCCAGACTTTAAAGCTATGAAGGCCTACCCATCCCTCCTCTATTAAGTTGTAGCTGAATGCCTACAAAGGGCTCTTGTATACTCCCCCATTGCACCTCCCAAAGCTCTCATCGATTCCCACCCCAACACTGGCCCTTCAAAAAGCGAGCCAATTCTCAGCAACATCTACAGAGCACGGCGTCTTACTGTATGCAGTATCCTCTGGAATGAAGCAAATCTCAGAGCTCTTCAGTGGGCTCAAACAAGAGGGACAGGAGCCAACAGCCCTGGCACTAAGCAGCTTCGTTTACTGTACTGTTTCAGCATGACGAGGAGGCTCCAGAGTAGTGGACAAGTAAGAGTTCACAAGAGTGTTTAACAATTCTGGATCATGTCAAAAACGAACAGTGCTGTAGACAGGCAAGGGCAAGGCATGGAAGGAGGGAGATGACCCAACAGGCATGAGTGGCTGAGCCTGTGGCCCACCATTCAGGGTGGACCCAGACTTCAGCAAAGCCTACACCAGACGAGGGAAGCTCTGGAACCCACCAGAACCCACCAGAACCCAAATACCACCCTACACTCCACTTCCTGGCTCTGCAGAGGCTTGGAAAATGAACCAAGAAACCTGAAAGAAAAAACAAATCAACACAAAATGCCTCCAACTGTTTGATTGTATAAATAGTTTATTTCTGTTCACAGCATCATATATGTATTATAAAAGGGGGAGGGGTATGGAAACAGAGAAGAGAACGGTGAAGACAGAATTACAGGAAAACCAAAACCAGAAGCCAGGGGTTCCAACACCGTCATAGAGTGTGTGAAGAAAACAGCTCTCAATCCAAACTGGCCTCCCTGTGTCTATCAGAAAGAAACCATTCCAAACCTCGCTCGGAGAGGCCGAACTCCTCTGGGAACCAGAAGGTCAGAAGTATCACTAGGTCTGGCTGGCATGTGATGGGAACTCCCCCATGGCACCACCACAGTGATGTTCACCAGGCTATGTCTTGTCACAGATGAAATGGGCGTTTATTAGGTCAAACGTTACAGAAATCAACCGAGACTCTTTTTTTTTTTTAACTATTTGTTGATACACCACAGGGCTTGACTTTACTGCACAACTACTAACAGTCAACTGCACCCTTAAGTATTGATAATGGTGGGGGGAAAAAACATCACAAAACCATCCCAAGCCATTGTTCAAGCAGGCCAGGATTGGAACACTGACCTGGAACGCAGGTATTGTGAGCACAGGAAAGCTACATTATTTGGCATATGCAATGTCACAAAATAAATATATTATTCTCTCCATACTGTGGAACTACCAAAATGTCAAAGTGCTTAAGAAATTGTGAAGAAAATAAAAAGAAGGTGGATTTTTTTTTTTAATAATTCTATACAGAATCTTCAGACCATGGGACCAGCCCATGGAGAAGCCAGTAATCCACAGTTGCTGTGTAAACAGATCCTGCAGGATGATAACCACTGCTTAGCTCTGTATACAAAAAGACCAGTAAATTGGAGGGCTACCAAACACACAAGAAAGGAGCACGGGCCACTAGATTTCAGTTTTAAAAACAATCTTCTAAGGATCGGGTTTCAAGCAGGAAGCCATGATTTCTGCCTATGGTTCTTAAATTGACTCTTAGAGTGTCAAGGACAATAGGGATGGGCTCATATTGTGACCAACTCGGTGCTCACTCACAACCATGGCTTTCTTTGCACAGCAATGTGTTGCCATGGAGGGAAACAAACAAAAAAAAATCCTACCCTAAAACATGGATTCAGAGGGGAAATTAAAAGAAAAAGTAACAAAATCAGTTGTAAATTTCTCTTTTGATACTGTGTTTCAAGATAAATGACAGCTTTTAACAAGCCAAGACTCGCTCCTGATTATAAAGGATTTTTTTAAATTACCTTATTAAAAATATGTATTTATTCTTTCACTTTATCTATTTTCCAAAGCCTCTTTCAAGTAAACTGTGAAGTGCCTGAGTACCAGTGACCATGACGTCACACGCCCACTTCCTTCTCTTCTCAAGCACTCATTGTTGTTTGCCTTAACCCAAAGTGCTGGCTGGCTCCGAGGCCAGGCCGGCTCCCGCAAGGGTCATTTCCAAAGGACTTCATCCTCCAGACTTTTCCTCCCTTCAATGCCGTGCAAACAGGGTCAGCTCTGACAAGGTGGGGTTTTATTCTTCTGGTGAATGACATCAAATATTCTAACGACACATTTTGAGTAAAATACTGAAACCAGATAGGCTACAAAGACCCAGCCCAGAAATCTGAACATGTCTGCACTTGCAGCGCCAAGGGTCACAAAAGGGCAAAGTCTTTTTCTCCCTAAGGTGAAGATAATTTATTTATGGAAGTGGGGGTTTTTAAAATAATAATAAAAGAACATGTCTGAAACCTATCACCACGTGGTTATTACTATCAGACCCCCTCCCCCTTGTTAAGAAAACCATTTTGCAATTCAGCACACATCTGTAGCTGGTGTGGTCCTCCAAACCAATCAGTAGGCTGAGAGATTTTTAAATTCCACACAGAGGGTTCAGTTTTTATGCCGATTATGCAGTACCGAGTGTACACACACACACACACACACACACACAATTAATGTCGAGAACCTCACCCTTTAAACACCTGTACTGCCACCACCTCCAATGGTTTTTCTGTTCTTCTTTGTTTTATTGGTCTCTTTATGGGAGAATGACCTGCACATGGACAGGGCCTAGGCCATCTGGAAGAGGTCTCATCCCAGGCTGAAAAGCAGTTCTCAACAAAACCATACACACCCACCCCTGGAAAGTGGCGTCTTCCAGGCCATTTCCAGCCAAGTCCAGAAGCACAGCATCCTGGGCCTTGCAGCTGCCGCATGGTCCGAGGCAGTCCTCTGGATGGCCCCAAACCACCACCTCCTTTGGGCCCAGAGCAGGACAAGTGAAATTGCAACAGGGACCTGCCCTGTGACATAAAATTTCTCAGTTTCCACAGCTCCAGAATGAAAGGAGCGGTCATCCCCAACCCCCCCCCCCCCATCAGTACACCCCATTGCCTACCCGTTTTCTCTCGGGTATCCCCAGGGTTCTGTGTGAACTGCATACCTCAGGTAACTCACACGTGATTCCCCCCCGCAGTGGGGGCTGGGAAGCCTGAACTTCTGGCCCTGCTGGAACAAGAAGAAATCGCTTTTGTCTCTCTGACATCCAAGCTTTCCACCTGGGGCCAGAGGGCACACCGCGGAACCCTCGCGTCCTCACGTCCACTCCCCACCGGTCCCCCCCTACCCCACCAGTAACTCAAGCATTATAGACAAAAGGTCCTCTGAGCTGGGGGTGGGGGGTGGGGCAGGTGACGAGATGGGTGGTTATGCAGCCTCCACACCCGGGCTAAGTCTCCAAGTCCTGGATACAGAGATCGTGTTTTAAAAATTCGAATCATCGCTTTGGTTCGTTGTCTTTGTTCGCGGGTTCTCGCTCAACCCAGACGTCCATTCATTCACTGGCTTGCTCGCTCAGCCTCGCTCCAGATCGCTGACTCGAGCGCATTACCGCTTCTTCTTCTGCTTGAGAGACTTCCTGCGTTTCAGGATCATCTCATAGAGCTTGTCCATGCCCTCGGTGAGGCCCTCGCCGATGATGGCGCACGCCGGCTGGACATGGTAGGTGGTGGCCGGGATGAGCTCGTGCAGCGCCAGTTGCTTCTCAATCTCGGCCACTGGCAGCGACTTGGGCAGGTCCTGCTTGTTGGCGATGACCAGCAGCGGTGTGCCCTGGTTTTCAGCAAACTTGGTCACCTTGTGCAGCTCCGTCTTGGCCTCCTCCAGCCGGTCTACGTCCACCGAATCCACCACGTAGATGATGCCGTCCGTGCAACGGCTGTAGGACTTCCACAGCGGCCGTAGCTTCTCCTGGCCGCCCACGTCCCAGAAGTGGCAGCTGATGCCCTTGGCAGTGCCGTTGCTCAGTTTGATCTTTTCGGTGTTGAAGCCGATGGTGGGCACTGTGTTCACGAACTCGTTGAACTTGAGCCGGTAGAGCACCGTGGTCTTGCCGGCCGAGTCCAAGCCCAGCATAACGATGTGCAGAGACTGGAAGGCCGAGATGTTGGAGGAGATGTTGCCCATGGCTCCTCGCTGCGGCGCCGGCCACTGCGGCTGCGGCGGGAGGGCGCCGCCCCCCGAGCAGTCACAGGCCCGCTGCGGCCCGGCGCACCTGGGCCCCACCCGTTGCTGGACCCGGTGGGGTCTCGGCGTCCCCGGAGCTCACAGCCAGGCGAGCTTAGGCTCGGAGGGGCCCGCTCCCTGGGCCGCCCGGTGCGTGCTCCGCGGGCATCTTTCTCCGGAGGCTTTGTCTCCCGCGCAGCCGCCACGGACAGCCGCCGCGGTGTAGGATGTCTGCGCCCTGCGCGTTAGCCCGGCTCGATCTGCGGCTCTCCCGCGCCGGGGCTCTGCAGCAACCTCTGGTCTCCGCGCGCCTCGGAGCCGCTCTAGCTCCGGCTCTCCGGGAGCTCCGCGGAGGCGAAGGCGGGGCGCGGGCTTCCCCGGCGTCCCGGTTAGCGTAGCAGCCTTACCGTCCCTGCAGTACTCGCGCTGCAGCTACGGCCGCCGCCACCAGCCCGCTGCGGCCGGAGGGCGCCGGCCCCGCCCCTCTAGCCCCGCCCACCCACCACGCCCCTCGCCTGACACGCCCCGCGGTCTCCCGGGGTCAGGCGGGGTCTTCTCGGTCGGTTGCGTCTTTTCGCGCGCTCCGATCGTTCGAAACTCGCCCAGGCGACCCTTCCCGCCGGCTGCCTGCAGACTGTGGGCCTGGACGCGGACTCTTCCTCCCTAATCCGGTGACGCGTCTTTTAAAAATAGCTCCGGGCTCCGGAACCCCCTCCCGGGGCCTAGCCCGCCACTGGCGGGGCAGAGCAGCGTCTGCAGAGGGCTAGGGCGGTGAGACTGCGGCACAGACGCAGGAGGGCGGAGGAGAGGAGCTGACCTCTAGGAGCCTGCAGCTTGCTGCCGCCCACTCCTAATCCATTTCTACCGCGTGGTCTCACGCTCCTTGGTGCCCTAGTGTCCTGGTCCCTAGTCCTCCTTAATGCATGTGTTCCCTTTCCTGCCCTAACTCTAGGGTGTGCCCAGGAAGCTCAGCTAAGAGTACCTACCACCCACCTGCCTAGGTAACTCCAGACAATTCTTTCTTAGACACCCATCTTGGTGATTGTTTTGTGCCCCCCTCCTCCACCCCCCTCAACTATGCTGACATCCCAGATAAGGTTAATCTTAAGGCACCCTTTGTCATTCCCCTTTGAGAACATACCAGAAGACCATGATGGAGGGATGGGGTGAGGGTAAGGGATGGGGGCGGTCCAGATCACCTGACCAGGCTCCAGGAAAGCTGGGCCTCTAGACGACCCTTGATTGTGAACCTTGTGTCTCTAGCTTGGAGCTGATGATGAGTCACAGATACATATTTTCTGGGTTCCATTTCGTGACTCCATTCAGTGGTTCTATTCTGCCTTGTAAAACATAGCAAATGCATATTATTTCTGCATGTAGAGGGAAGTAGGGGGTGATTTTGAGTGACACAGATTTGAGAATGCTGGGAACTGGAGATGGCCAGCCACAGGACAAGTGGTTTACATTTGTGTAGGTCAGGCTTCTGGGTCAGAAAAGATTGCAAATACAGTCCAGGGAAAGAAAATAAAAATGTTTATCATTTGTGAATTTAATTATTACACACACACACACATAGGAACCTTCCTTTCTAAGTTATATTTCATTTGTACTAAAGCTTGTGAGAAAAAATCACACTTGTCCAATTCCATCTTTTAATTCTCACAACTCCAAAAGCCAGTCCAGGGTTCCACCAGCTAGCCTCAAGCCCAGGGGGACTAGTAATGGATGTTAGTGCTGGCTGGTGAGGTCCACTCAGATTACCTGTCCAACTTGCTAGAGGAGGAAACTTAGGTCTGTGTGCCAGGACCTGTGCTAAGGGGATCTCAGTGCAGACAGCCTGCCTAAGATAAGTGATGCATTGGTTCTGGGATGCCCTCCCTGGACAAGGGCACAAAAATAGGTCTCAAATTAATCTCAAATCAAGTTGGCAACAGGAGAAATTTATTAGTAGAGTCCTGGATACACGGAAACCGTTTAGGATGAGGGTTTTCTGGCAGGGCTGGATCCTGGAGCTCACAACTAGGTACTAGACAAGATCTTCACCATCTTCAGTTTCCCTCTATGCCTGTCCTTTTAAGTCCTGTGGCCTCACATCCTTTTGTTCGAACCTAGAAGGAAAGGGCATTATCAACAAACGCTCAGAGCACACATTCCTCTGGCCTGCCTCGTCTGCTTCAGATCCAGCACTTTGATTGACCTGGCTCCAGCCTAAAATGTGGTGGTTCCCACAGAAGAATTCAGGGACCCAGAAAGATAGGCAGATAAGCAAAAGTATGACTTGAGGGACAGTGAAAATGGCTCAGTGGGTGTCTGCAGCCAAGCATGGATCACCTGAGTTCTATCCCCAGCTCCTACACATGGAAGGAGCAAAAAGATTCCTGAAAGTTGTCCTCTGCCCTCCACATGTGCATGTCTGTGTATGCACATACACACACACTAAATGTACTTTTTAAAAAATTTAAAAGGCAATTAATCTAGTTGAATTCATGTCACTGCTTTTGTTGTTGTTGTTGTTGTTGTTGTTGTTGTTGGAGGAATTTTCTCAGCTCTCTTGTAGGTATTTCCTAAAGAAAATCTCCTCCTCTGGAATGAGTTTCTTCTTGCTCTGTCCTCCCTGTCAGAGGCAGGTGAGTGGCTGGCTACCTTGGGAACATCTCAGTAAAGCTCTCACAAATTACCCCAGCATAAGATATGTTGGTGCCTCTTGCTTCTGTCCCCAATTGGGACTTGCTTTCACTTTAGAGGAGTCTGAAGGATCGTTTTGGTAAGATATGACACTTATTCTTCCTGCCGTTCTGATCACTGCCAACTGCCTCTTGGTTGCTGTCTTTGCATTTTATACCTCATGGTGGCACTCGGCAAGCAGTTAAGGGCTGTCTGTTGTCCAGTACAAAAAAAAAAAAAAAAAAAAAAAAAAGCAGATTAATAGACAGTAATAGAGCCTTCCAGAAGAGAGCCATTACGAAGCCACTCACCATCCTTGAATATCGGTGGCTCTACATCCTAATTTTGCTCACCGGGCGATAAGTTGATTTTACAGCCGATAATTTAACTCCTAACACATAAAAATGTCTTTTGATTGAGGCAAGTGGGAATTTCCTGCAAATGTGGATTTCAACCAAAAGGTCCTGGAGTTGTGGGGAGGAAAAACAAACAAACAAACAAACAACTATTTACTAACTACACCTGCCAGACACTCAAGATCCACCATGAGCCTCTTTTTTCGTGAACATTCCTTAAGGTAGATATTCTGTTCCATGTTGGCAGACAGGAAGGACTGTAGCCACTTCCCCACCAACCTGGAGCTTCCATCTCTGAAATGTACCTAACCCGTGGGGCAGTTCTGAAGAGTAAATGGGATCCCAAAAGTGTTTGGCAGTATGCCTGGCACACACAGTGCCCAATAAATAGTGCCTTTGACATGAGCAAAGCAATCAGTGTTAAAGAACACGTAGCCACTGGGGGCTGGAGAGATGGCTCAGAGGTTAAGAGCACTGGCTGCTCTTCCACGGGTCCTGAGTTGAATTTCCAGTCCCCACATGGTGGCTTACAACCATCTATAATGAGATCTGGTGCCCTCTTCTGGCCTGCAGGCATACATGCAGATAGAATGCGTATACATAGTAAATACAGCAAAAATAAAATAAAAGGCCCACTTCCGTAGTGACCGTGGCCCCACCTGTGTATTTCCCCTGAGCTGATACTACTGGCTGCACTGTGCTTCCGTCTTCATTTTAATTAACCTGACCAAGCCGTTTCTCAATAGCAGTGAGCTCTGTACAAGCCTGTGATACACTTCTCAAAAGCGGAGCTCATCAACAGACAAGCTATTTTTACTCATCTCCTTCCACGAGACTCTACACCCAAAGATGGGTTCAGTTACTTCAAGTGAACAGAATGGAATAACTCGGCAGGAACTTTCAAATCGCATCCTATGACATTCTTCTTCTCTCTTTTGAGGAGCTTAGAAATATGTGTCACCAAAGTAGCTCTCCAGTGAATCTAGCCTTGTTAATAGAGTAGGAAGTTGCATAGTAATTATCTTTGCCTTTACGGAGGCTAATAGTATAAAATGCAAAGGCTGAGCCTCCGGGCCATACTTTACCAAGGACCAGGATCCTGATCAGAATATGGGCACTTAGGACTCCACGCATGCGCACCTGCCAGAATGAGTACTGCGTGTACTGACTGGAAACCTGCTGCGCAATGCAGGGTTCACATTCACAGCCCGTGCCTGATTGTGCTGATGCGGGAGCGCCCTCTACCGCTATGCTCTAGAAATAGGCAGAGGCCCTTGCGGCGGAAAAAGACCAAAACACATCTGAATGGATGGATCCGGATGGATCCTCCCTGCCTTGGCTGCCTGTGGAAGTATCAGCACTCCCAGAGACGTTACTGGCTAAGCTTAGAGAGTCAAGAAGGCAGGGAGTGACTGTGTTTGGGCTCAGAGTTTGGGAATACCTGTCAGAGCCCTTTGCAGTTTGTGGAGAGCAGGAGAGGACAGTGTTGGGTGGGTGGGTGGGGAGTGTCTCAGGAGTCTGGCAGGACCTGAAGGGGTTTTGCCCAGAAGCTGGGGAGCGAGGATGGGTGTGGGAGATCAGGAACTGATGAGCAGGGTTGGAAAGCCGGCATCCAGGAAGCCTGTGATGATTTTAGAGAGGAGGAGAAGCCAGTGACTGGCCCTGACTCACCAAAGGCACAGGCACCGGGGACACAGCGAGACCAGGGCAGGAAGCGTTATGGAGGAAAGCAGCTGGACAATGAGAGCGAGGCCAGCAGTAGCCCTAGTAAAGCCGGGACCTTGGTGAAGAAATCTCCATAAGCCTGTGGAAGTGACCGTATGTGTCCCAACCACTGCCCAGTCCTTAGTCTCCACACGGTGTGAAACGCCAACACCAGGCGACTGTAAGATACCCAAGCTAAGGGAAGGCTGGTGACTGGGCAGGAGGCAGAAACAAACAAGCATTTCCTATGCCT